TCTCTGATAACCGTTTTCAACATGGTATCTTTAGTCTCTACATCTACATGGATTTTGCTCATTTCAGTGCTCCTTTTTAGCTTCTCTTTAATAAGTGTCTACATTTTTAGATTGATTCTTTGAAACTGAATTCTGCTGTAGTGGGTTATTTTCTGATTCCAGAAGCATTTTCATACCTGAATACTTTGTAGTTACTGTTGAGAAATAGTAACTGCTTTAGTGTATGCTATGCAGTGCATCATCTTTCTTCTGTTCTCTATTTGTGCCAAGAAGCAATGACTTACAATGTCTGAACTGATTGAACTGTACAGATTAGGCAGTATCTCTTCTTTTTGTATCCCAGTGTCCATAGGAAGACAAATTTATCATTAGCCTGTAATACTGTATTTCACTCTCATCTCAGCTCATCAGTCATTACTGCTGTCCTAAATTGGAGGCCAGTCATGTGACCCTAACTATATTTTAATCCTGGATTGCCGTTTTATACCTGAGGATTTTTACTCCTTGATAAAAGTTAAATTAGTTATATAACTTGTATGCTAGACTTGTCCCATTGTTTGGTTATTTTCCACTGAGAACCTGATCTGCTTATGTAATTATCCTCTTTTTAAAACAGGCGACTCCAGTTCACTTCTGTGCTTTATTCATTTAACCTAAATTATTCAACCCTGCAAAAAGTTACAAATTCAATGTGAAACAACTTGATTTTTTTTCCTGGTACACTTCTCAAGTCTTTAGAAAATTGATATTAAACCTGTTTTCAAGGACTAGCTCTTGCAGGCATTCCTTTGGACCAAATTGTCCATATTATCTATAACTGATTTCCCATCATGCTTGATGAGAAATGATGCCTAATGAGCCATTCATACATTTGTCTTCTGACACCTGTAGTTACTTGGAATGCCCATATGCAGAAATAGGTTCGGGTATGCAAATTTTTCTACTATTGTTTACAAAGGAACCCTTTAGAATTGGAGACCAACTTGTCTTCTGTACCTTGAAGGATATCACATAGATGGGAAGCCAAAATTGGTCACCTTTTAAGTTATGCAAAGCTAAAAGCTTATCTTTTCTACTGTTACGTTTTCTGAGGCTGCCTGTAGAAATTGGGACAGATTGAAATGGTGGTATTTCGGTTCTGTTAGTATTCGAAAACAACAAAATTAATTTCTAAAACTGGAACCAAACAAATAATTATCTTGCTCATGCTGCAGAAAGCTTGGATGTCAAAAATAACTTCATGTAAGAAAGAACCACAGGCAAATTTAGCTTGGAAGGGTCGTCTTCAAAGTCAGATCAGGTTGCTTAGGGCCTTTCCAGTTCAGTTTTGCATTTCCAATGCTGAAATTCTGTTGTCTGTCATCCTTCTGGTTTGCAACTCAAAGAAGAATCTGGCTGTCTTTTTTGCACCCTTCTTTTAGGGTAGTGGAAAACAGAAATGAGATCAGTGCTGCCTTACTGTAATATATAAGCCAACTGACCAATGGTTTCTTGGAAGAAACCACTGAATAAATGAAGCCTTAGTAATTACTGTAAAATTTGTTGGCATCAATGGCTTTTTCTGCTTCCATATGTGTCAGATCTTCCCTCTAGAAGACTCTCCCCG